CATTGTTTGAATCCACAGTGTTCTCTGGATGTAGGTGAACTACAACTCTCAAACTCAAGGTCAATGCCTACCAAACCCTTCCAATATTTTCTTTTGGTCATGGGAGTTCTGTGTGCCAGGTTTGGTTCAATTCCATCGTTGGTGGAGTTCAGAATGCTCTTTGATTATAGGTGAACTATAAATCCCAGTAACTACAACTCCCAAATGACAAAATCATAATTTTTGAGTGATGGTCACTCCTTGTGTTGTGAGATGTTTTGTTGCCAAATTTGGTGTGATTTCGTTCATTGGTTCTTTTGTTTTTAAGGTACTCATTACGCACAGAGCATTTATAGATAGATAGATAGATAGATAGATAGATAGATAGATAGATAGATAGATAGATAGATAGATAGATAGATAGATAGTAGGCCTGGGTAACCATGGAAAAATTTGGTTCTAAACTCGTTTTGTTTTTAGGGGGCCCTTGCGTTTTGTTTTTTTAATAATTCCGAAATTTTCCTTTAAAAAATTTCGAAATTTACGAAATTTCATAAAATTACGAATCGATTCGTTAATGGCAGACGGGATTGCGCAATATGCTAAAAAAACCCTCCAAATGGGACAGGGGGAACTTCTGAAGCTTCCCTCTCCCTCTGTTGTTGACTGTTGGTGTGATAAAACAAACAAAAACTATAAAACTTGCACCAGACATGCGAAAATAATTACGAAATAATTACGAAATAAATTGAAAAAATTATTTTGAATCTTAATTACTCTTCACACTATTCCAACATGGCTCAATATTGGATCGTAAGCTAATTTAAATACGAATTAATAACGAATTACGAAATTAACGAACGAAACCGCCCAAGCCTAATAGATAGATATAGATTAAATTAAGGCTGGTTTTACTATTATTTGGTGGCAATTTTGAATGTGAAAGCTTCCCTTCAGTTCAAAACATATGGGGGACTCAACCCTGTTGCTTAACCTTTTAAACTGTGGCCAAAGCGTTCTCCTCCAAATATTGCAGTTTTCTCATGAGCTGCCAAAAGAGAGATCCGTATCTTGCGAAAGCCTCAGGGTATGAATATATTCATTGAACTTGGCATCCATTTTCCTTATTGCCTGGAGTAAGAAAAGGAACAGCATACACAGGAGACGGAGGGAGGGAATGCTTTTCTTTTTAGTTTGTATAAAGACACCGGAGTCTAATAGCAAGTACTGGGTCCTTTTTTTGAAAAAAGCAGGAGGGTGCTTTTCAAAGGAGCAGCTCTGCCATTTAGGAAACAAAAGAGTCAATCATACAACAAAGGATAGAAATGATCAAATGGTTAGCCAGAGGCTGAAATAAATGCACAGGGAAAGAGTGACAGATTGTATATTTGCAGGAAATCTGATCTGGAAATTAGTCCGAGGTTTTTTTTTGACATCGTTTTTTCCCTCCCTGTCTCAACTGATGTGACTTCTTTAAAAATGGAGATAAATCTCTGATTGCTCAGTTCCAGATGTAGAAAACATCGTTCCTTAATGGAAATGGAAGAGAAATATTCCGTGGTGATACAGGAGACGTTTTCAGGTTCTCCGTAGGCTTTGCTTTCAAGGCAAAACCTTTACATTCCTTGGGATCGGCAGGTCACCATCAGAAAAGGGCAGGAGTGTCTTTATTAGTGTCTTACAGTCATGCTGGTGGTTTTCAAATTACATACCGTTATAACACTCCATCAAATTTTCTTTTAAAAAAAGGAATAAAATTGGAGACACCAAATAAAATGTCTCCCCAAGCCTTACTCAACCGGGAAGGCCGGGTCCGATTTGAAAAACTGGAGTGTCTCAATACAAAGAAGTGAATGTTTCCTTATTTAGTGACCTCACAACTGTTTTTAATTTAACCTTGCTGTAGGTACATGCCACTCTGGATTAATGCAATTCACTTTTCTTTATAGAGGCCACATTCTTTCGCTTCAAAATTTGTAATCTTTAACTGTTTCAGGACTGTGGTATTTTGTAGCAGCTTGAAATATTATCTACACATTTGTATTCTCGTCAATTTTAATAGCAAGGGAAGAGAAATGACGTCCAGCTTGGGTTGTACAATGCACATTGGTCATGCCAAAAGAATATTTTTCCCCAGTTATTTAAAATACTTTAAAAAATATGAGGCCCTCAGTGGCGCAGTGGGTTAAACTGCTGAACTTGCTGACTGAAAGGTTGGTGGTTCGAATCCGAGGAGCAGGGTGAGCTCTCGGTGTTAGCCCCAGATTCTGCCAACCTAGCAGTTCGAAAACATGGAAATGTTTTCTGTCGCATGTGTTCTGTTTTCTGTTCAATGTGTTCTGTCGCATGCTGGGCCTGTAAAGAATTTCCTTTAGAACAGGATGCGTAACCTTTGCCCAGCGGGAAGCCAGGGGGCCTAAAGAGAAGTTCTCAGAGGGTTTCCCCCAGAAATAGCCTTTAGATGGCTTGTGAAGTACAACAAAGTATTTTATTAATGAACAATCAAACAGAAACTTCTCTTGTCTTCAGTAAAGTTAAGCAACTGATTCCAAGCTTTTAGGCAACTGTCTTCAATAACATTTTTAAAGGAAAATCCCCTTTTTAACTTCTCCCAGGCTGACTGCAATCTAACCCTTACTGATGTGGGCTCCGCTACCGGGTCAAACTGCTTCTCGAATGCCGAGTTTACCTACCAGTAAAGGCTTAGATGTTCTCCAGCTGGAGTTCTTTGGTCTTTAGGGCTGTTTTCCTGGAAATTCTTAAAGGTTGCAGCTTTTGTACAGGGGAAGCTTGCACATGTCCTATACATTAGCTTTCCTTGCTGAGACTAACTAAAAAATGGCTCCCTTCCCTTCCCAATTGCCCTGAGCAAGGGGCAGGACCAAAACTTAATGATGATGGACAGGTGACTTGCCCTATGACTGCAACCAAAGGAAGCCACCTATCTGCAGAGTCCCTGAAACCCAGGACTGCAACCAAACATTTACTACAAAGCAAATAAAGTTGGAGCTCCAGGTACAGCTGTACCAGAACACAATAAGTACATGACCTGGGAGGTGTCTATGGACAACGCCGGCTCTTCAGCTTAGAAATGGAGATGAGCACCACCCTCCAGAGTTGGACACAACTAGACTTAATGTCATGGGAAAACCTTACCTTTACCTTTAAAATACAGGAAGTTTTTTTTCAGAATTCAATTCTAAATTATTTAGTATGCAACTCAAATTAAATTAATGTTTTTCTGTGAATCACAAAAGCCAGTGTTATTCATTCATATACTCTACTGGCAAATGCTCACCCTTTTGATTGGTAGAGTGAAGGTTAATAGGGCAGTTTTCTGTGTCTTACAGTCTTAGAGGAGTTGCAGTGGTGCAAGGAGTTAAACCCTCGTGCTGCTGAACTGCTGACCTGAAGGTTGGCAATTTAAATCCACGAGACAGGGTGAGCTCCGGTCTGTTAGCTCCAGTTCCTGCCAATCTAGCAGTTTGAAAACATGCAAATGTGAATAGATAAATAGGTACTGCTTCAGCAGGAAAAGGCAAAGAGACCCTCCAAGCAATCTTGTCGGCTTCACAACCAGGAGGTGACAACGCAGGCTCTTCGACTTGAAAATTGAGAAAAGTACCTCCCTAGAGCCAGAGATGAGCACTGCCTCCAGAAGCCGGAAATGAAAGGAGAAGCCTCTGCCTTTGTTTGTGTTTGTGTGTCCCATTGTATATGATTGTAAAGGCACTGAATGCTTGCCGATGTATGTAAATGCTGTAATCTTCTCTGAGTCTCCTAGGGGAGAAGGGTGGAATATAAATAAAGTGTATTATTATTATTATTATTATTATTATTATTATTATTATTATTATTATCCCCCACCTTTAACTAGGAAATGGCGGTAAGTAATGCACCAGGCGAAACCTATACCTAGTGAATTGCACAGTACTTGCGTTTCAGTGACAGGTCCCCGACTGTGAATCTCCCATTCAAGAGAAGCCAGACTGGGCCCTTTCCTATTGTGCTTCTGGCTGTATAGGCAACACACTTTTTATTTAGGCAGGTTCTTGGTACATACCTTCAAGTCACCTGTTGACTTATGGTGGCCCCATGAATTTCGTGGTGTTCCTTAGGCAAGGAAGCTTCAGAGATGGTTTTGCCAGTTCCTTCTCTGAAATATAAGCTACAACACTTGGGATTCTTATCTGTTTCCTATCCAAATACTCACTAGTACTTATGCCACTTAGCTTCCAGGATAAGATGGTATCTGGTGCTATTAGAGCATTTGGCCCTAACACTTTTTCTGCAGACGCAGACTGTAGCCAGGAAATCAGAAGACATTTACATCTTGGGAGGAGAGCAATGGCCAATCTCAATAAAATAGTGAAGAATAGAGACATCACACTTGCAACCAAGGTCTGCATAATTAAAGCAATGGTATTCCCCGTAGTCACCTATGGATGTGAGAGTTGGACCATAAGAAAGGCTGAGTGAAGAAAGATAGACACTTTTCAACTGAAAATTCTGAAAATGCCTTGGACCGCCAGAAGATCCAACCAGTCCATCCTCCAGGAAATAAAGCCCGGCTGCTCACTGGAGGGAAGGATAGTATAGGGAAAAATAAAGTACTTTGGCCACATCATGAGAAGACAAGAGAACTTGGAGAAGACAATGATGCTGGGGAAAATGGAAGGAAAAAGGAAGAGGGGCTGACTAAGGACAAGATGGATGGATGTTATCCTTAAAGTAACTGGCATGACCTTGAAGGAACTGGGGGCGTCATCCTCATAGTCTTTGGTGAGGGACTATGTGAACTAAAATTGTCTCAACGTGACTACAAAATCTTGAAGACCACAGATGTCCATTACAGTGTGATCTGTCTATCTGTCTTTAGGAGTTGTTTTTCACTGAAATATAATAATGGACCAAAGGGACTTCTTTTCCCCCTTCTTTCAGTGTCAATTGCAGATGCTTAAATTTTTCAAGATTCTAACAAGATAATAATTGGTGGGTTTTTTTTTTTTTGTATTTTACAGCTATGTCCTCTTATCTTTTCATTATCAAGTCTGAACTTCCTGGGGCCATTGCGGGATTTCTGAGTGAAGACCACAGCGGGTAAGGAGAAATAATGCCACAGAGTGAAACATAGGGAAATGCTTCGCAACATACAATCCTTTCTTTTAAGATGGATGAGACCTTTCAGGTGCCTGCATCTATGCATATCTTCTTTGCAGTCTGTGGATGAATCTACACTGCCATATAATACAGATTATCTGCTTTGAACTGGATTATACGAGTCTACACTGCCATATAATCCAGTTCTGATCAGATAATCTAGATTTTATATGGCAGTGTAGATCCATCCACAGACTTTCTGCAGCCGGTGGTTTAACCGCTGTTCTACTGTATAATTTAAATTTCACAATTTCATAAATTCTGAGAATGCTTGGACCTCAAGAAGATCAAACCAGTCTATACTCCAGGAAATAATGCCCGGCTGCTTGCTGGACAAAAGGATATTAGAGACATATTATATTTGGCATCATAATATTATATTATATTTGGCAACGTTATCAGAAGACAGGAAAGCTCAGAGAAGATAATGATGCTGGGGAAAATGGAAGAAAAAAGGAAGAGGGGCTGACCAAGGGCAAGATGGATGGATGGTGTCCTTGAAATGACTGGCCTGACCTTGAAGGAGCTGGGGGTGGCCACGGCAGACAAGGAGCTCTGGCATGAGCTGGTCCAAGAGGTCACGAAAAGTCAGAAGCAACTGAATGAATAAATAACAACAATTTGTTGTTGTGCATGTATTCTCTGATGGGAAATTGCAAGGGTATAATAAATTAGTGTTGGACCAGATCTGAGCACCATTTTTTTCTGAGACTAAGCCCAGTTCTTTTCCAGTAATTCTCCTTGTACTACTCGATTTGACTGAATTCCATTGATTTTCACTGGCCCTTCTCCCCCTGGAAAATTGTATTTTTTAACTGGAGGTTTGACACATCCCAACTTTAATCAGTTGCCCTTTGGATCAATTGTAGGGGTCTATTTAAAACAGCAAGGTAGATGCTTTGGTCTTGCAGAGTCAGCCCTAAGTCATACATTATTGGTTTCTGATTTTTTTTAAAAAAAGAAATCTGCCTGCTTTCTCCGCAAGGTGACTTTCCTACCTCATTTTGCCCAGAGACAATTTATCACCTTCATTTTTATGCAGCAGGATCCATTTTTGTCCCATCAAGATGAACTCTCGTTTCCAAGGGGGTTCCGTCGCCTGTTAAAAGTCACCTTGTTTTCGCACCAAATGCAAAACATACAACCCGGCCTGTGACTGAGCCTGAAACGTTTAAACTGCTGCTGTCATGTTACCATGTTAACATATTTTTTAAAAACCACAAAGCAAAATTTGGCAGTTACTGAAATTTTAAATATTTTTGTTTTCGCTGAGTAGTTATTGGACTAGGTTTTGGGAGCAGTGCCAGTTTTCATATTTGTTTTATAATTCTTCCAATTTGGCTGTGCAGCTGTGTTCACTTCGCATTTAGAATTGACTTTGGGGAGGAAAAAAGTGGTTCGGCTTGCTGAGAAAAATGTTCCAACCTCGGAATAACTTGTACTTGTTTTGAATATATTGTAGTTGCCTTTTGCTCATACAATTAAATAGCTGCAAGCTATCTTTGAGTTGTCTTTTTCAGTCTCTTGGTTTCAGTGCATTTGAACTCTTACCATACTCTGCAAACCATAAGTTAATGCACATTTTGAGTACACTTTCGGAAAGTCAAATAGCAAAGTGTTTTTCATTCTCAGTTTTTGTATTAAGGGTGTTAGGATTTGAGTTTTTGAGACATAACTCTATTGAAAATGATTAAAACATCAGGTTCTTGTGGGGTTTTTCGGGCTATAGGGCCATGTTCTAGAGGCATTTCTCCTGACGTTTCGCCTGCATCTATGGCAAGCATCCTCAGAGGTAGAGGTCTGTTGGAATTAGGACAATGGGTTTATATATCTGTGGAATGGCTGGGGTGGGGCGAGCTAGGTATGAATGTTTCAACTGACCACCTTCATTAGCATTTGAAGGCCTGGCTGAGCCTGGGAAAATCTTTTGTTGAGAGGTGTTAAGATGGGCCTGGTTGTTTCCTCTCTGCTGTTTTGCTGTTGTAATTTTAGAGTTTTTTAATACTGGTAGCCAGATTTTGTTCATTTTCATGGTATCTTCCTTTCTGTTGAAATTGTCCACATGCTTGTGGATTTCAATGGCTTCTCTGTGTAGTCTGACATGGTGGTTGTTGGTGTGGTCCAGCATTTCTGTGTTCTCAAATAATATGCTGTGTCCAGGCTGGTTCATCAGGTGCTCTGCTATGGCTGACTTCTCTGGTTGAAGTAGTCTGCAGTGCCTTTCATGTTCCTTGATTCGTGTTTGGGCGCTGCGATTAAAACATCAATAAGGGAAAATCAACATTCATAACTCACAGGGTTGATGGTCAGGAAGAAGTTTGTGTTCCACCTAAATACTCAGTGAAAGTCAAGTCAACCCAACTATGTATTTATTTGTAAAGTTAACATATTATTCACATTCATAAGCTACACAACACATTTTTTTATTTATATGAAGGACCAGCATTTGGAAATATAGTGTTTTGAGAATCTTATTCAGTCCATATACAGTTTTTCCTCGCTACTTTGTGGTTCACTTTTCGCGGAGTCGTTGTTTTGCGGGTTTTTGCCTCCCACTTTATGAATAGTTGCCATTGCCCAGAGCGGTGTTCTAATCCTGCTTTCTGGCAATGATGGAGTGTGGAAGGGGAGAGGCAGTCGATCAAGAGAGATTGCAAAACAAAGCAGAGATAGTTAGCAAAAGAAAAAAGGTGTGTGATGTCTTTAAATCTCTCCTCGCTTCTGCGTCACCCTCAAAACTCGATATACATATATAGCATCCCTATTTCGTGCATTTTCACTTTTCGCTGGTGGTCCTGGAATGTAACATCCACGATAAGTGAGGGAACACTGTAATAGGAAAAGATTTCCAGCCTTTGGATAGGGAAGATCTGTTGTAATAAAGGGCACTTTCTAGACCTATAATGAGCAGGTGTATAAACACTCAAATAAGGGGCATCTATTGTGATATAATCCCTAACATCTCTAAATCAATGTAGACTGGAAATTGTGAGAATTGGAACAGCCCGTCAGAATTGGAACAGCCTGTACAGTTAATTATTTGGCAAGTGTGCCATGCTCAGATCTTAATTTCTGATCTGATCAGGACATTTGATCTAGTTATTCTCAAGCTTACCATTCCAAGTTGTTGGTTCTGATGTTTGTTTTATATATTGCTTCATGTTGTTTTTATTTTGTTTTATATTGTTTTTTTTTGCTATTATCTTATTGATAGGCATTTTAATGTGTTATGTTTTAACTGTATTGCTGGTCTTGGCCCTATGTAAGCCGCCCCGGGTTCTTTTGGGGAGATGGAGGCGGGATATAAAAATAAAGTAATTATTATTATTATAAGAAGCTGGACCATTGGCAGCAATGGGTGGGCTTCCCACGCTCCCCTTCCCCTCAGTTCTAGGGCTAGCACTCAATGCTCGGTGTAGGCATGAGTGCTTTGGGTCTGCTCACCACACATGCACTCTCCTTGGAAAGAGAGTGCAGGTGTGGCGAGCAGTCCCAAAGCACCTGCACCTGCCAGGGCCTACAACCAAGTGCCGAAAATCAGCTGACCAAATGGTTACTGTTCCTACTTTCCTTTTGTTTCACTGATATTTCCATACCAGAGGGGAGTGTACAGTTTCGGGTCTTCCGAATGAACGAAATGGTACGAAAACATGAATGAAACGAATGAAACGGTAACCGGTCCATGACTACTCTCCCCTTTATAGGTGGTTCTTTGGACTCAGGGAAAATTTAGTTTTCAAGCTATTTTTCTCACTGTGAACACTTTGGGAGTTACAGTTATATGCAGCATAGTGCCTTGGAATGTAATGCTTGAATTGTCCTGCCTAGAGCAATATTGCCCCAGTTTTGGCTGGCATCTGGGCATGCTTGGATAGCCTTATGGTCCAGCTGCAGATCTAAGTGAGACATAAAACTCTGCAGGCTTTTTTCACCTATATGGAACAAGAACCAAGGTTGCCAAAGCCTGAACATCAGCACGCACCAAGGCTCCGATAGCATGCGCCAGATCTGCGGAGGACATCTGGCTGTGCCAAAACTTTGTGTTGCTCCATAATAAACTCTTTATGAGGGAGTCATCTGCAGCGGATGGTCCCAACTGCCAAGGAAAACATTTGGCCAGAGACAGCATTGGAGTCCTTATAAAAATAGTTACCAAAGAGAGAGAGAGAAAGGAGGGGAGAAAAAGAGGAAAGAAATGCCAAACCAAAACATTTTAGAAAACTCAAGGAGTGAAATTCTTAACCCTTTAGTGAGCTTTATGTGAATAAAACTGGCCCTTCGGAGAGACAGTCTATTCCATTGACAGCCGGCTTTTAATGCCTTTTCCAGAGCGCAGCCATAACCTTGGGCGCTGCTACCTTCTCCAACAATAATGTTCTTTCCATAACAAATATTTTAAAATTGCTGTATAAGCAAGAAGCATCTTTCTTGCTTTTGTCAACATCAGCCAAAGACTAAGTGCTGATAGGGCAGAATTCCCAACTGCCTAAATAACATTTTAAAAAGAAATTCTTGTTCCCAAGGGCCTTCAGTTACGTTAAGTTAATCTATGAGGGAGCAGAACTTTCATGGGTACCTCTTTGCAATAGATTTTTTTAAAGTAGAGGAAATGATTAGAAATGAAAAAAAGGTATAATCTTAAGCCACATCAAAGGGGATGCTTCAAATGTACAAGGAATTGAAATATTAGGGCAAATGATGGTTGTTTCTTCCTCCAGTATGATAATTTGATATGTATTAAGTGCAATTACAATAATTAAGAATGTGTTGTCAGTATAAATACATTTAGTTTTAAAATGTTGAGTTTATTTCTGCTTTTAAAAATGTTCTCTATGACTCAAACATTGTGCATTTGAACTAGAGTAAGTGCCGCAAAATGTATCTGGTTTAGAGATGAGAACAGAGCTACCATAGCAGCACTCCCTGCTAGGAAGACTGGC